GTTCTGCATGGAGCACTGGGTGTTATGCACAAACAATGAATCATAGAACACTACATCTAAAACTAATGATGTAATGTATGGGGATTAACATAACAATAAAAAAATTTTTTAAAAAAAGAATCCTAGGTATGTGCATATGTATATAAATATGTAGGTAAATACATTGAAAAGGGGCCAGAAGGACACATGTCAACATGGCCCCAGGTAAATGAGCGGAGTGTGGTGCTGGGAGGTGGGGGTAGGGAGAGTCTTCCAAGTTCTGCTCTCAGTGTCCCGGAGTTCCAGACCAAGTACAACACTAACACTAGTACTTGTGTAAAACCAGACTCCTCCTCTGTCCTCAGTCCTCCCCAGCATGGGACCCAGACTGCCACTCCCCACAGGTCTTGCCGCTTGCCCTGCATCTCCCATCCCTGCCACTTCTCTCTGCCTAGGGTGCCCTTCTCCCTCCCCCTCGTCCACTTGGCTGACCTGTCGTTTCTGAAACGCCTTCAGCTCCCAGCAGTGCTCCCCCCTGCCTCTCTCCTTGGGCCAACGGCCATACTGTGCACCCACTGTTCTGACAGCATGTCTGATGGACCCCCCTTCTAGAGCGGGCGCTCTGTTATAGTGTGATGAATGAATGGGTAAGTTGTAGTATGTTAATTTATTCATAATACTATGTAATAAGAAGTAACAATAGCAATGAGAAAGCATGCAATCAACTCATCTAGAGTATCTGGAGGAAAAAATGAGGGCAGGGGACACTGGAGACGCTGCTGAGACAAACTGGGGTTTGATCTGTGCCTTGAGGGCTAGCAGGCTTTGGAGGTGGGAGGCTGATGGGGGGCATGGCTGATAAGGATGAGGGAGTACCTGAACAAACAAGACCTGAGGCCCGTTTGTGGGTGGTAAAAAGGGACTAACATTCTCTAAGGAACACCTCTGTTTATTTAGCCACTTGGCATGCATTTATCATATGCCCACTACGCGGAAGGTGCTGGGAAGAGAAAGTGATATAAGATAGTCCCTTCCAAAATCCAAAGTCTAACAGGGGAGCCAGGATCCACATAGAGTGTAGAGAGGGAGCACCAAGGGGGCGGGGATTTCTAAATCACCTGGGGGACACTTGGAACTTTCCTGAAGGGAGACATATTTACAATTGTGAAGGACGGGAAGGGGGGAGTTGATGAAGAAAGAGAAGGGAGTCCTGTTTAGGGGCTGCAGGAGCAGAGGCACAAGGTGTTGGCAGGGGCACAGGATGCCCAACGGCCTGGACAGAATTGGGTCCACTGGGGCCAGGAGAAGTCAGGTCAGGAAGGGCAGCCCGAGCTGAACAGAACTGGGAGCTGGAACTTTATCCCAGTCCTACCACTGGACTTTTCTGCACAGGAGGGCCAGCTGGGTGGCAGGAAACCCAGGTAGGAGGAATTAGGCAGAAGTGAGAAGGGTCTGGACTGAGCTGTGGGAGGGAAACAGAAAAGCACCATGGAGACAGGAAGGAGGAGGCCCAGACAACATGTAGGCTGGCTGGGTGTGAGCAGGGAGGGAGGGGTCTGGGAAGCTGCCCAGGCTCCTTCTTGGGGACTGAGTGGCCAGTAATAGTGCCATCCTCACAGATAGGGAACCCTGGAGCAAGAGGTTTGGGAGGAAGATAAGGGATTCCACTTAGGACATGTTAAATTTGGGGTTCCTGTGGGACATCCAAATGGAAATGCCTTGGAATCAGTTGGATATGCAGGCCTGGGGCTCATGAGGGAGGTCTGCTGAGAAGTTAAGATTATAAGTGAGTCTTTAGGGCACGGGAGATGGTTGGATCCATGGTACTGTGCATACATATCTTATTTAATCCTCATAATCTCTATGAATCAGTATTAATATACCTTCATTAGAGATGAGCAAACTGAGAAGACAAGCAACTTAATAAAATCCACACAGCTTCTGAGTATCAAAGCCAGGAATCAAAGTCAGCTTTGTCTCCAAAGCTGTTGCTTGTTTTCTAGTTCCAGAATGGCCAATATGAGATACTTCTGCTCAGCATGGCAAATGCCAGTGAGAAATGAACTGGGAATGAATAGCACATGGGGCTCAGGTGAGTGAGGAGAGGGCAGGAGCAGGGCGGTGGGGTGGGGGTTAAGAAACACGGTTTGAGGGCGCCTGGGTGGCTCAGTCTGTTAAGCGTCTGACTCTTGATTTCAGCTTAGGTCATGATCTTGGGGTTGTGAGACTGAGCCCCACATCAGGCTCTGCACTCAGTGTGGAGTCTGCTTGAGATTCTTTCCCCCTCCCTTTCCTTTCCCTTCTCCTCCCCCAAACTCATGCTTTCTCTCTCTCTCTTAAATAAATAAAATCTTATTTTTTAAAAGATCATTTATTTTTTTTTATTTGAGAGAGAGAGACAGCAAAAGAGGTAATGCAAGCAGGGGGAGGG